CCATATCGTCAGATAACTGTTATGTGCAAAATAAAAATATTTATGTTGTCATGTGCATGTTTTTCCTTCTTAAAAATTTTGTCAGTTCAAAGTTATATATATTATAAGCAGATACAATATTAAGAGAAGATGTAAAAACTTACCTACACTTATAATAACACCTTGGGACTGGCAACAATTTATTCCGCTATGTTTTTACAAATATACAGTCAACAATATGTAACTTGAAGATTTTAATATTTATTATTTACTAATGGTTCTTTTATTAATAGAAAAGTAAATATTGATAAGGAACCATTTCAAATTTCAAAGTCAGTTACTTTGCAAGTTAGAAAAGAAAACTGGGTATTTATTTTATAAAAATTCATTTGATAATCAAAATTTTAAAATGACAGACTTAAGGCGTCAGAAGAGGAAAGAGTTGAATTTTCCAGGAAGTTTACAAAATATGAACCAAAATTTAATTTCAATTTCAGCCAAAAAATATAAAGATACCAAGATTTACATTCATATTGAATTGCCGTCATATTGTCATGACTATTATAAAAAATTCTACAATCTTCCACTGCATCGGACTTTCCCGACGACGATAATGCTTATGAATAGTAAACAAAACTTGTGATTAATGAAACATGATTTTCATTGTGCCTTGAAAATCAGGACTTAGGATGTTCTTTTATTACATGTAACTTATAAAAAATTATCTTTAGTGTTTAGAGGTAGCATATCCCAAGTTCATTATTTAATTAATTAATTACATTTTTATTAATATCTCATTGTAATCAAAAACTACTTTTAAACAACAAATAAATTTTTATTTACAATTGTGTAGTAATGTTCAAATTGAGACTTAAAACGTGTGCACTGAACAATTAGCTTAATGTGACTTATGATCATTTGCCTAAGGTGTACAGATATGTATTCTGCAGCGTTTATTAATTAAATATCTGAAAGATTGAATGGTTTGTTGCAGTTTTCCTGAACATGATAATTTACGTCGGAATTGGATTGTAGCTACAGGACGAACAGACTGGACACCAAAACCGTCATCAAAAATTTGCAGCAGACTATTTAAGGATAAGATGTTAATAAAAAAGAAGAAACTTACTCTGCTATTACCTTATGCTGTACCAATTCTGGTAAATAGTCAGTTAATGACATATTCATACTATTTAGTACAATTATCTTGTTTATTACAAACATTATTTTGTGAATTTTAATAGCAATAAATGACTGAGACAGGCTTCTTTTAGACTCTGAACGCGATTCAAGTTTTAACAATCAATATTAAAACTTGAATCTTGTACAGAGTTTAATATACCTAGAACTTTAAATTAAATTTTCTGTAAAATGCAACTTTCTACACCTATTTTGTATTAATTAATGTTTTAAAGATAATTAACGTTTAGGAAACAAAAGCTTGTATTCCAACATCTTCCTCCATCAATTTACATGAAGAATCACTTATGGAAATTGATAATAATTTATGCATTCATGTAAGTAGGTAAACAATATTAAATAAAAATAATATTATTTTTCCTCGACCCAATACCGAATTGAAGGGTTAAGTGGACAAAGGTGTAAACTAGCAAATAGTTCTAAACAACTAATGAGCCTTTGAAAATAATAAATAATCAACTGACTATAACTGAAGCATATAGTTTTAAAATACAATATTAGTATCAATACTTCGATAGATTGATTATTATATATATTATATTGAAAAATAGGTTATTCTATGCAAATTTATTAAAAAAAAAAACAATGAAAGTATTATATAATACACCTTTGTTTCCTACAAACCATATTAATTAGTTAAGAAGAACTTACAATGGCTCTATGTGGTAAAAAAATAACATTATTTATATGAAATAGTATAATTATTTAAAAATAGGTATGCCACATGTTCTTACACACTATTTATGTGGCCTGTGGCCATCTCTAATGATGTAGATATCTTTATTATAAAACCATATTTGCCTTAAATAAAATGCTTTTGATAAGGGAATTTTAGGTAGAGGCTGAGTTTATTGTATGTCAAAAGTGATTTTTTTCCACTAATACACATCTCTCTTTCTTGTTTTTGTAACTCAAATGCTCTTTTGTAGTTATCAATATGCTCTTCAGTGTGTGTATTAGAATCACATTTGTTACACACATCAGTTTTAGGTTGTTTAAAATATAGACAAAATTTTGTATTGAATATATTCCTAAAAAGCACCTTCCTACACCAATTTTGTATTAATCAATGTTTTAAAGATAATTAAATCTGAAACCTTTTTTTGGGCATTTGGCATCCATCCACGCAACAATTATAGTAGGAGCGACGTTTTTCCATTAAAATTATCAAATAGGTAAAATAATATAAATAACACTAAACAAAGACTATTTCAACAAGTATTTACAAAAAAAAAAACTAATTACGTAAACACCGTTAAAAAAAAGGTCTATCGACCAAGTTGGCGATATTTTGAAAATGGGCCACGTTAGAAGCACCCTTAACCGACGAGCATGTATGCGTAGATATATGGATGTAAAGGAGGCGAAAGAGGTATGTAAGGATCGTGCCAAATGGAAGTCCGTAGTCTCTGTCTACCCCTCTGGGTGACAGGCGTGAGTGTTTATGTTACGTTAAAAACTCAAAACAAACATTCAATCGCCTACAACGCGCTAGCCCCGACTGCGTATGTTACCCTGGGTGCCTAGCGATTGTAGGTAATTATTTCACGCTGGTAGCAAGAGTGACAGAGGGCTGGTAACAGTTAGTTCAGTATCTTCTTTCTTCAATATTAAAACACAACCTACATAAATACAGCCCACTAAGCTCTCATTCATTACACAATAGTTTCTTTAAGTTTATTAGTCAGACAGATATCACAATTTTTTAGTTTCTTCTTTCTTCACCACAGTAAATTATAATAAATAATTAGTCAAATACAGTCCACTTAGCTCTCCATCAACTACAGTACATATCAATGATAATCGTTTATAGCAGTGTTCCATTTCAGGCTTACTTCACGTACTAATTTCTAATTTTATAGCTAGTTGTGGGGTAAATTTTTCCTCACACTTGTAACCCTAAATATAGTGACGTATTTTCCTTTGTCCCTTTCTACGACACGCTATGGCGGAGTCTATAGGATTCTCTGTCTACGGTTTTAAGCGTTAGCGTACTAGGGATATTGCACTCTCGAGCTCGGATGCTGTGGCTGAGGTTATGGGATTATTTAATTAATTATTTACGATGTAAATAAATAACTTATGGATAAACTGATATCGGGTGCTGATTGCGCATGTGAAAAACTACAAATTTACATTATGATTTCTTAAATTTACGCGAACACTACACATTGAATAAAACTATTATTTACGGATTTTATCGCGTTTAATTACTTTAATTTATTTTTATTATTATCCCGACGTTTCGGGTGCTTTACAGCGCCCATGGTCACGGGGGGGGACTGAGATGTTTGACGTCCCAATGTCATAGTTAGTCCGGCTACCTTCAGTTTTTTAATATTAATTTTTGGCTAGATTGTGAATGTGGTCTCTCTTACATAGGTCAAACAAAGAGATCTATAAAAACCCGCGTGAAGGAACATATAGCTGATGTGAAGCACCGACGCTCCGGGAAGTCTGCAGTCTGCGAACATGTTCAAGATCGTCCCCACCATTACATTAGATTTGATAAACCACAAATTCTCGCAAAAGAACACCGATTCCTACCAAGGATGATACGCGAGGCTATTGAAATTAAAAAACATCCAAATTTCAATAGAGAAGATGGTTGGGTGCTACCATCTGTTTGGGATCCTATAATTAACAAAATTAAACCCAAACCCAAGCATACCACTGCAAGACTTCATGATACTATAAGCTCGTTTTGCGTAAATCGGACCAAAAATTAATATTAAAAAACTGAAGGTAGCCGGACTAACTATGACATTGGGACGTCAAACATCTCAGTCCCCCCCCGTGACCATGGGCGCTGTAAAGCACCCGAAACGTCGGGATAATAATAAAAATAAATTAAAGTAATTAAACGCGATAAAATCCGTAAATAATAGTTTTATTCAAATTTACATTGTTTAATTATTCTTTTACCGTCATTGTTATGCAAAAAATAAAAATGTATTATTTCACAGCACCCGCCTTATTTTTTTAATATATAAACAAATATTTGACGCTCAAACAAATAATTAGTACCTGATAAACATCATTTTTTACGCGCAATCGATTTATACTAGTCGCATTTCCGGGTGCCAACTTCATGGACCTTTTATTTGTCTATGCTCAGTGCTTTGAATGACATGTTGCGAATGTTTGACAGCACTTCATAAAATTATTATTAATTTGAATAAACAGTGACATGATTTATTTATTGTTAAAATAAGATGTGCAATTGATGTGGAATTTACCGCTGTATTAATGGTTTAGAAAGCTTACTGTAAAATAATTACAAAAGTCTTATATAATTCTGTTGTGAAAGTGTTTTGACACTAAGGTATATTTTGATTGTTGACTACTTTTACTTTTAAGGGTTAAATTTCTTAGTGCATTATATTTGATTTATTCATTTTACTATTTGACTATTGGCTTGTTTGCATAATGTATTAATTATTTGTCCTTGCCCGTATCTACCTATCTATGACTTGCTAATCTGGTGTCAATGACGAATTCAAATCGATTTAGGTATTTAAAATACATATGCCTTTATTTTGGTACATATCTAGTATTTTTTATATCATGCGAAAGATTTAAAAGGAGGAACATTTTATATTAAGTGACATATTTGAAGTTTCAGGTCACATATATGATGTTGATAGATTAATACATCATCTAAACGGTCATATTTAAACAAAAACGAGTTTTGGTGTATTGTGACAACAAACAGACCCGACATGAGTAATGCTGCTGGGCCTAATGTTTTGAATAATTTGCCACCTGGTGTAAATCCTGAGAATAATATACTACCTGGAGGACCTGTTATAAATCAAATAATGAATCGGAATAGAAATAATAATCAAAACCCGCTTTTCAATGTAAGAGAGAGGCTGTTTCATGCATTATTTTTCAAGTTTGCTGTTGCATATGCAAGAACTTTTCCAAGGCCCGTACGAAGGTTTTTTGAATTCCTGGTGCTATTGAAAGCACTTGTTGCTTTCTTTGTTCTTGCTTACATTCATATAGCATTTTCAAGAACACCAACAACATGTCTCAATCATGTAAAGGACTCTTGGCCTAGGGATGGCATACTCCGAGTGGAAATATTAAGAAATCCATCACAAGATTACACTATTGAACAGAGCTATGCAAAGGAAAAAAAATTGAAAAAAGATAAGGAAGAATTTAATTCAATGATGGGGATGTTGGCTACCGAAGGGTAAGGGTTATTTGCAATTGTTTTAAACAAGTATAAATATTCAATAGAATTAATTAAAGTCAAATCCTAACATAGAATTAATTTTAAACTTAATATGCGTCAATCAAAATCAAAATATCTTAAACAGATATAATAAAAATAAGTTTGGAAAATAGGAGGATATTCCAAATTGCCACGATGATCTATATGTAAAATATTACAACTTATGTATGTATTACATCATCATCATCATCATTACAGCCCTTCACAAGTCCACTGCTGAACATAGGCCTCCTCCAAGTAACGCCACAAAGCATGGTCCTGAGCCACCTTCATCCATCAACTTCCTGCATGTCTTACCAGGTCGTCACTCCATCTAGTGGGGGGTCGCCCTACACTACGCCTACCGGTACGAGGCTGCCACTCGAGAACCTTTCTTCCCCATCGGTTATCGGTTCTTCGAGCTATATGGCCGACCCATTGCCACTTCAGCTTACTAATCTGTTGGGCTATGTCGGTCACTTGGTTTTACTGCGGATATCCTCATTTCTGAGTCTATCACGCAGAGAAACTCCGAGCATAGCCCTCTCCATAGCTCGCTGAGCGACCTTGAGCGTCCTCATACGGCCAGCAGTGAAGGACCACGTCTCTGATCCGTAAGTCATCACTGGCAACACGCACTGGTTGTACACTTTAGTTTTCAGAGATTGAGGTACACCTGACGAGAAGATGTGTCGTAATTTCCCGAACGCCGCCCAGCCGAGTTGAATCCGTCGATTGACCTCTCGGTCGAAGTTGGACTTACCTAGTCGGACTATTTGTCCCAGGTAAACGTACTCGTCAACAACTTTGAGCATAGTGCTCCCAACAACTACCGGCATAGGTGTGACATGGACATTGAACATGATCTTTGTTTTGTCCATGTTCATCTTAAGACCTATCCGTTGGGAGACACCATTGAGGTCATTGAGCATAGTGCTAAGGTCCTCCAGCGATTCTGCCATAAGGACTATATCGTCAGCAAATCAAAGGTGAGTGATGTACTCGCCATTGATGTTAATACCGTATCATTTCCAGTCCAGTAGCTTGAAAACGTCTTCCAACGCAGTGGTGAAGAGTTTCGGGGATATAACGTCACCCTGTCTTACACCTCTCTGCAGTTGGATAGGTTTCGAGCTCTGGTTCTGTACTCGGATAGCCATCCTAGCCCTACTGTACAAACACTTCAGCACTTCGATATACCGACAGTCAACTTGGCACCGCTGAAGGGACTGTAGCACCGCCCAAATTTCGACGGAATCAAAGGCTTTCTCATAGTCCACATACGCCAGGCAAAATGGCAGATTGTACTCTTCGGTCTTCTGTACAATCTGCCGCAGGGTATGTATGTGGTCTATGGTACTGAAGCCTTTTCGGAAACCGGCTTGTTCGGGAGGCTGGAAGTCGTCGAGTCTGCGTGCGAGACGATTCGTAATGACTCTCGAAAACAGCATGTAGACGCGGCTCAGAAGGGAAATCGGTCTGTAGTTCTCCAAGAGAGCGTTGTCGCCTTTCTTAAAGAACAAGACCACCGCACTTCTACTCCACGCCTCCGGAGTAGTGCCACCATGGAGGACGGAATTGAAGAGCTTCTGAAGGACTTCAAGTACCAGTGTTCCACCCGCTTTTATAATCTCCGCTGTAATTCCATCTTCGCCTGGGGTCCTGCCGTTTTTAAGGTGCTGGAGAGCCATTCTAATCTCGCTTAGACTGACGTCCGGGATATCATCGGAATAGTGTCTGATAAGATTGTTTGAGATGTTACTCACACTTGCGTGTGGCTCCAATGATGATGTGTACAGCTGCCCATAGAACCTCTCAATCTCACTCAAAATCTCAGGTGTCCCGGAAACGATGCTGCCACACTCAGTCTTCAGCCTTGACAGTTGGCTCTTTCTGGCAGACAGATCTCTGGCAAAGATTTGGAGCCCTGGTTCTGCTCGATGCTTTTTATAGAGCAGTATTAAGCAAGTCTCGCCGCATGCATTTGGAGATCCGTCTGTTCAGTTGCCTGTATGCTGTCAAATTTGTTGACGATTGCAGCCTCATCTCCCGTCTAACAGCCATGAGATTAAGAGTGTGATCGGAAAGTTTTTGTGTTCTTCTGCGGCGGGTCTTGCAGAACTTAGCTCCGACCGCATGGACAGTTTCCACGAGCTTGTCAATTCATATCGTCCACTGCATTGCAATCTTCTAGGGCACTGAAAGCGGTTACGTAACTCGAGCTGAAAAGTCTGGGGATTCTGGATTAGAGCACGAGGGGGACGGAGCGTTGACTTCATTAGACGAGACTTCTCCAACTTAACGTTTAGGTTCAGTGTGCCTCTAACCATTCGGTGATCGCTGCCGGTTTTCACCCTTGCGATCACTGAGACATCACTGAACAGTTGGGGTCTGGTCGTCATAATGAAGTCAATCTCATTTTTTGTCGAACCGTCGGGGCTCGACCAGGTCCACTTCCTGTGAGGCTGCTTCTGGAAGAAAGAGTTCATCATAAAGAGTCCCTCTTTCTCCATAAAGTCGGCCAGCTGCTGGCCCCCACGGTTCCGTTGTCCTACTCCAAATTTCCCTTAACTTCAGCTCACCGATTTCTCTTGTGCCTAGTTTTGCGTTGAAGTCTCCCATCAACACCGTGTAGTGGGTTTTGGAGGAATGCATGGCTCTGGAAATATCCTCATACATTTCCTCCACCTCCTCATCGGGATGTGCCGAGGTTGGTGCGTAGGCCTGTATGACCTTCAGCGAATACCGTTTGGTGATTCTGAGTATCAGGTACGCGACCCTCGTCGACACACTCCCAATCTTTACAACGTTGTTGACGAGAGACTTGTGGACGATAAATCCGACACCTCCTTGGGACAGATGGTCGCCCTCCCGGTGATAGGACAAGTTGCCGGACTCGAGGATTACCGTGTCCTCTCCCTCTCTTCGGACCTCAGATAATCCAATAATATGCCAGCGCAACTTGTCTACCTCTTCTTCCAGCTCCAGTATCTTCTCGTCAGTGGGATACGTTGCAGGTCGTTGATATAGGGATTCTTGCACCCCCTCCCCGCCGTTACCATGGTCGCCACCGTAGCCAGGAATAGCGGGGCCGCCGGGGACTGGGGGCCGTTTATTTGCGTCGTTGCTCATGGGGGGATATTTGCCATAGTTGCCACGCTTGGCGAGCGGGTTGGCAACCGCAGTTTTTTATTATGTTATTGTTGTTATTAGGAAGATGCTGCTGCCATCTCCTTTCTGTGTTCCTTTTGTCGCCTCTTACGACACCCACGGGAAGATATGGGGTAGTGGATATTCTCAACCGCCACTACACGGCCATGTATTACATGTATTACACTATTTAATATATAACTGTATTAAGTAGTGTAATACATGCAGTATACATCAGTACTGGGTGTGCTTAAGCCATCTGTTCTATATGGCACCTCTATGTCAATGAGTTGCATGATTTAAAAGCAATTAGTTAAGTTAGTTTACAATGGGCTGTTTTCCGCAACTCCACTCGGCCTATGTGCATATTTTGCGTGTGGGCAGGAATAATGTAATTACTCAAGCCATGACCTATGATGGTGTGATCCTGGCGTGCTGAGATGTTTGGCCCTGTATGCAGTGACCTCCGGACATGACAGCAACACATAGGCCGCCGTTTCCTCCACCCCCATACATGCCTTGCACAGGAGACTGTCTGTAATACCTAAATATATGTTTGTTAAAGGAGATAACTATCCGCATCTGTGGCTTATTCAGTCTCATTAGAACCTTGGTTAAACAACTGTTTATTTCAGGTAGAGCCTCCCTAGCTTTTCTTTATGATTAGTGAGGTTTCTACACACCAGTGAATGAAATTGAACGAAAATGAAGGTGTCATAGAGGTTTGGTTTTATTGGTTCCAGCCCTATAGTGGCCAGAGTCATTCCTCTTCTGGCCCGTTCGACTGCTGCATTGTTGCCTCTGGATCCACAATGTCCCTTTATCCGTTGAAGAGTCACATTGTTGTGTTTACATACCTCATTTAATTGTTGATGGCTTTCATATATTAGTCCTTAGTTCACACATTGCAACTCAGAGCTTGTAGTACCACCATACTGTTGGTCATTATTCTGATGGAGAATTCTTTTACCTTCCTAGCATTTATTGCTATGGCTGCTTGGATAGCCATATATTTCGCCTGAAAGACTGTGTTAGGGGTACCAAGCGGTGTACATATATGGATATTAGGGTCTTCAGTAAAATTTCCAGATCCTACACCTTCATTTGTTCTAAAACCATCTGTGAAAACTCATAAGTTCTTTTGGTCTTAATCCTGCTGGCTGGCTGGTTATAATTTAATTGTATCTTATACTTCTTATTGAAAACAAATTGTTTGGGGATCTTCACATACTTGGCTTGTAAGAGAGGAATTTTTGAGAAAATTCTGTTAATTATAGCTGTGTGAGGGACTCCAGTCTTACTCCAAAGATTTAGGGTCTTGAGTCTAATGGCAGCTAAAGTAGCTTCTTGTTGTATGTGTAGATGAAGCAGGGTTAGCTCCAGCGTAGTCTCTAAGGCTGCTGTTAGTGTAGTCCTTATGCAGCCTGTGGCAGCTATACATCCAGTCTCTGGTAATGCTAAAGCTTCTTTATAGTGGTGGCTTCATATGTTTTGGTCCATCATACCAGAGTGCCATATGTGATTATGGGCCGAATTACAGTTTTGTACAGCCACAGTATAATTTTTAGCATCAGACCGCATTGTTTTCCAATCATGTTTCTGCATTGCGGAAAGTTATACTAGCTTTGTTGATTTTGTTTTCTATGTGTTTATTCTTGTTTAGCTTACTGTCCAAGGTAAGACCTAATATTTTAGCTCAGGGGATAGTTGGAGTTTTGTGCTGAAAAGACTTGGGAGATGATAGTTATTCAGCATTCATTTTTGTGTAAACATTACTAGGACAGTTTTATTTGGATTAATGGTTGAGTTGTATTCCCTGCATCATCTCTCCACTATATGAAACGCCACTTGGGTCAGGTCGCACACCATGCTTGCTGTCTTTCCAGAGACCAGTATTGTCAAGTCGTCTGCATAACCTATTATGTATAAGTGATTGGCATTTAGTTTGCTGATGAGTTCATTAATGACTGTATTCCACAGGAGAGGTGAAAGAACTTTCTTCAGCAGCATTCACCAGCAATCTTTATTGTTCGTGTACTGCGCATGTTTACTATCCAGAAATCAGTGCCGGTTCTACTTTGTGTCTACTTAGTGCACCTTTTGAACATGGTTTCTATGTTACCACAGAATTATTGTGATTTATTACACATATAGACATGATTATTGTGCGAGACGAGAGAGTGCAGTCTTTCCAATGAGTTTATTACTATGAAAGGCGTGAGACAAGGTTGTATATTGTCTCTGTTGCTCTTTAACATATATGGGGAGCACATCATGCGGAAAACTAGGAAGCCTGGGATAAAGGGTTTTATATTGGGGGAAAAAGGGTGGCAAACATGCGAAATGCAGACGACACTGCTTCTTGCAACATCTTATAAGGACATGGAGGAGTTGCTGCATAAACTAGAATTAGAAAGCGAAGAACTAGGTCTGTCAATCAACAGGAATAAAACGAAACTCATGGTTATAGACTGGGCTAACAAACTTTCCAACACTTTCAGCATTCAAGGGATCGAAGTTGTAGAGAATTATATATACTGTACTGGTACTATACTGGTCTCTGATCTCAAATGAGGGCACTTGCATTCCCGAAATTAAACGTAGAATAGCAATAGCTAAGGATGCGATGACCAGGCTGACAAAGATCTGGAGGAACAGAAGGGATAACAAATGATACTAAATTACGCCTAGTATATATATACTCTTATATTTCCATTTTTTCTCTATAGAGTGGAAACATGGACTATACGCGCCAGAGAAAGGGAGAGAATTGATGCATTCGAAATGTGGTGCTGGAGGCAAATGCTGCGAATACCGTGGACTGCGAAGCGCACAAACGTGTCAATCCTATCACAACTCAAGATCAAGACGCGTCTTTCCACCACATGTCTTCAGCGCATCCTCAGATGTTTTGGTCATATCTCTCGCCGCGGGGACGAAAGTATTGAGAAATTGATAGTTGTTGGAAATGTAGAGGGAAGAAGGCCCAGAGAGAAGGTAGATCTCCAACCCGGTGGTCTGACCAAGTCAAAGAAGTTGGTGCGCTAAATTTCTACGACGCTCTCCGTATGGCCAGTGATAGGACCCGGTGGAGACAGATCATACACAATAAGCTTACTCTCCGTGATGGTGATCACAATCCTCAGTCATGAGGGACCGACTAGAGGGAGAGATTGTGCGTGAACGTTTGCTTATGAAAGTTTGTTCGAAATCTGTATTTAAAATGGCTAGGTTAGTGCTAAATAGATATTCAACTAACACCCTACCTCGTTCGTTGGGTTTTGTCCATACCCCAGCGGGGGATGATGCAAGGATGTTGAAGTCCGTCCCGATCACAACCTCTAGTCTGCACCTCGCAGAAATTCACCAGCCTGATGAGGGGGAGGAGTGTCTTCCTCCGGCATGTAGACCGAGACGACGACTATGCTTCTCTATGACTATGCTCTGGAACAGAAATCTGTTAATGGTTGTGCACAGATATCTTTAGTAGTATAAATACACGTTTTAGAAGAAAGAACACGAATAGTTTGTTGTGCGCAGTGTTCTAGAATCAATTACCTTTTAGGTTGTTTAGGCCTTTGATTTTGCCAGCCCCAATCCACGGTTCTTAGATTAAGGCTATGGCCGTCTTTTGAACCTCCAACCACTGGGCCGACCCAGTTTCACTGTGGTGGAGGTTGGCCTGCACTAGGCTAGTTCTGAATGAATGGCAAGCCATCATTGACTGCTTCCTCTTCGTCGTCTCCCAAAATTGAAGCCTGCTAGCAGATCTCATGTTTCATTGTCAGCCACCGAGTCAGAATTAGACGGCAAGATGCAGTCCTCTTCGTCTCAGTGAGCTGCCACTGAGTCCAATCTCTACTGGGGGCTTCGGCTCGATTGTGCAGGTCGTGCCTTCACTGGACTGGGCATCCAGTGATTCTACTGTACCAGTAACTATGGCCCCGATATCCATGACTTACAGGTTATTATCTGCCCTGTTTGCTTGGTGGAGTATCAAAGAATTCACCTCCACAATCCTGGAATTTTACATATACCGCTCCACATACACATGCGAGACTACGTCTGGCTTTCATCATGGTTGGTATACTCTGAAACAACGAGGAACCACCCGTCCGTCTGCTTATCAGCCTTGAGTAGCAACCAGTCCCTGATGTTTACCCAGGAGTTCTGGTATGCCAGCATACAACCGATGTTGCGTGAGTTTTTCCAGGCTCCCTGTGCATCAGAAATATGGATACCACACTTGATTCTTTGTGGTATGTTTGACTGTTTCTATATGATTAGCGAGGTGTTGGGATTTGAGGTCAAGTGTTGCAATGTTCCCTTTCAACCAATCCAGAGCCTTCTGATCGTCGCACCACAGCTTCAGGACTCCTTCCGTGTAAACGGAGCCCCTCTAATAACTGGACCCAACGTATCAGGGTCCTGGCTACTCCAGGCCTCGCTGATCACCTTCCTCTGTATTGCCAAGAAGATGTGATCAGCTACCTTCTTCGTAATGTGACCTGAACTCGACAATGTTTTGTTGTACAAGTCGCACTTCTTTGTGCTCGCCTCTGTGGCGCATGTCTGTTACTGTTCTAGCTATAATTTACTGTCTCCCTCGCCTATCTGAAAGCAATGACATCTAGGACGAGGAATGGTGGGCTGGATTCTGGAGAATCCACAAGCCATATTGTCCTGTAAATTTTAGGAATTAATTCAGTCATTATTTATGAGTACTTTTGCTTCGTCTGTATGTTACATATAATGTGTATATAATATGCGAAATAGAGTCTGAGAACTACTTGTTAATAAATATCATTAATGTTTTATCTTTGTTTTGATTTGAAGACTTGTTTTGAATTTTATTGCGGTTTAATTTTCAGGTTCATTAATATAGAGTCATCATCTAGCAATAACATACAGGATGAATATTTAAGTGATGGCCATGATTATGGAAATCTCTCATATTATGAAGAACCAACTGAAGATACAGCAGATGACAAAGTAATTGAAACAGTCTACTTATTGAAGAGCAAGGATGATGCAGCATCTCATGACCATGAACCTGACCTAAATACTACAATCTACCCTGGGGTAGATGCAGAACCATCTACATCCATATGGGAGGGTATTATGAGCCTTGTAGAGGATATAGACGGAGATTCAAAATTGCTTGATGTAAGTTTTATCTTTTATTGAATTTAAATTATAATCAATCTTATATTCCAATCTTGTGTGGCAATCCTCCTGAAGAAGTGGTCAATGTAGACTTATCCCCATATACATATCATACACTAGTGTGCCTGAGATAATTAGACACTTTAATATGGTCAGGTAACATATTAAACACATAAACATTTACAAATGACAGGCTCATAATGCTTATCATCATCTAAATCATTATCGTGATCTTTAACAGATCCTGTTTATGTTAAGAGACTATAGTTCATTGAAGAACTTGCAAGCTTTGAGCAGCAGTGAGCAATTTCACTTCTTCTGGGCTAAATACGTAGTTTATCAAATGGGTGTTACGTTTGCGCATTGAGGATCCACAATCAGGTAGGATGTGCGGTAGTGTCTTTTCTGATGAGGATCAGAATCCGCACATCCTTGAGTTGCTTAGTTATAAAATGGATGTGTGCTTTTTTAAATAGCAATGTTCAGTTAGGACTCTTGCAAAAAACATGCAGTTTATCCTCACTTAATACAGTTTATTACTTCACTGGACCTTTTACACCTCAATTAGTTTATCAGTGAAATAGACAAGAGTTACTCAACACTTTATATTTTGTTCATATGAAACTAAGAAGTTACTCACGGCTCTAACTAAACAAACTATTAAAAGAGTTGCTATATAGCTCATGTCGTCACTTACTTTTGAACTTTGAATAAGATTTTAATCAATTTGGGTGAACTATATTTTGAATTAAATATGATTTAAAAAACGTATGTCTATAATCATTAATTACAAAAAAATTAAAAATAGCTACTACTTACCTAGGTTAAAGTTAAAAAATTGTTAGTACAAATAAATAAATGAGAAAACATTCAAAAAACTTAAGTATAGTGTTAAACAACTAACAGGCAACAAGTCTGCCTGTGAATAACATTAAAGGGGAGTTGGTGGTACGCCTTCGTGGTTATTTTGAAAGGGAATACCAAAATGGTGACCTTGTCAATGAACATTACGTCGCTTATTTTTTTATTTGGAGTTATATTCGCAGACACTAGGACAAAGTTAACTCGTCTACTCAATGTGAGCTGTCTAGAATACAATAACGTAGTGGAAGCAGTTATATATCTTCGAACTTGTGTTTTATGTATTTTTAATGTTATGTGATGATTTATCATTTATAATTATATTATCTTTCATAATTACTATGGGCCACAGCAACCACTTACTATCAGGTGGACTGTGTGCTCGTTTGCCACCCTTATCCTATAAAAAGTAGGGATGTGCCGAATAATCGTTTCATATTCGGTATTCGGCATATTCGGCAGCTTTACCGAATACTCGTATTCGGCCGAATATTCGGTTAAATCACCGGACATTCGTTAAAGTGCTACTCAAGGGGTCCACTGTGTTGAAATATACGAATTGAGTAATGCCATGTCTTTCTTAATTTTGCTATTGAAAGTATATTTTATTTATGGGTTAAGTCTGCTTGTATAGTGTTTTTTTAGGCACTGTAGATTTACTTCCAATTATAGCTATATATATAATATAAAGCTTGATAAAATGTTTTAGGAATCAAACAAAAAACATTACATTACATTAGTACATTTCATTTTACTTTGGTCGACAGTCTCTCTAAGAATAACACAATGAAATACTTTTTTCTCACAAAAATATTCAAAACAGAAGCATGTGCCTGCAGTTTGCTCAGTAGTAGTTGATGCGATAACATGTCAGGTGTGGACGGGAAGCGAGGGAGAGGGTCCGGCGCTACTCCCGCGCGCTATGTGGTAACAAGCTTCGACATAAATTGATTAGGTACCGAGATGATCCTGCCGAATAGTGGTCGGTCGAATATTCGGTTCGGTAAAGTGTTTACCGCACGTTCGGCCGAATATTCATATTCGGTAAAATCCATATTCGGCCCATCTCTAATAAAAAGATATGTACATACTAATTAAGAGTTTAATGTTTAATTTACTCTTTTCAGGAGTCCCTTGATGAGGCAGCTACTAATGATTCCTCAAAAGGTAAATATGTTTTGCATTGAGATATAGTAAAGTTTATTTTTTCTATGCTTCAGTTTTGCATTATATGCTTACGGATATAATGCGTAATACATAAAACATAAACATACATAAACACTCACGCCTGTCACCCAGAGGGGTAGGCAGAGACTACAGACTTCCATTTGGCACGATCCTGACACACCTCTCTTGCCTCCTTCACATCCATACACCTACGCATACGTGCTCGTCGGTTAAGGGTATTCCTAATTTGGCCCGTTTTCAATAAATCGCCAGTTTGGTCGATAAATTTTCGCCTAGGACGTCCCTTTCCGACTCTGCCATTCACTTCTGCACCATAAATTTTCTTTGTCACTCTTTCCTCATTCATTCTTTCCACATGACCAAACCACCGAAGCATTCCTTTCTTAATCCTGGTCACAACATCATCTTGCAAACCACACTCTTCTCTTATTACACAATTTCTTACCCTGTCATTCAGATTCAGCCCTAACATACTCCTTAACGACCGCATTTCTACTGCGTTTATTCTACTCTCGTGCTTCTTCTGCCACACCCAACTTTCACTACCATACGTTAAAGTAGGGACCAACACAGCATTGTGAATTGCCATACGTGCCTTTTTCGACACATTTTGACTCTTCACAATAGAGTGCAAGGTCCCATTTACTCTATTTCTCGCATTCACTCATCGTTCTATATCCTTATCATATCTCCCATCCCTGCTAAATACGCAGCCCAAATATACAAACTCATCTACTTGCTCGATCAACTCCCCTTCTATTCTTATTTCACAAATCGTTTTACTTTCTTCTCTTTCAAAAACCATAACCTTCGTCTTACTTGCGTTCACTTTCATATCCCTTTCTTTTAATGATCTGTTCATTAATGTAACCATCATTTGCAACTCGGCCGCCGACGACGCAAGAATAACTTGATCATCGGCGTACAAAAGGCATTTGACGGTTAACTCACCCATTCTTAATCCGCATTCTTCAACTTTCAAATTTTGCAAACAACTGTCCATAAATAGGTTGAACAGCCACGGGAAAGCCACACAGCCCTGTCTGACACCTTTATGGATGTCAAACCAGTCCGAGTAATGCGTAATTTTAATCAATTTATATTAATGCATTACAAAGTTCAATAATTTTCAATATTTTGGAAATAAATGTTATCGTCTTGTCATTTGATTAAATAAACATTTAAACTAAATAGGATCTTTAAAACTGAAAGAATTTATTGTCTTCATTATCACAGTTTTAATTAAACGGCTGTACACGCTCGTCGAAACACCACGAGACAGGCCGAGTACGAGTGTATACATGGTGCTCTCGTCTCGTGAGTCTCGCGATGAAAACGATAGCGTTCTCTATTCTATTCACCGTACATGGTACTATTATTATAAATAGTAACTATCCACCATCTCCTTCTTCGCAATGGCATATTAATTTTATTTTTTAGTAAATGTGTAAAAAAATTATAATAGCTCGAAGGCAACACGCAGCAACAGTTTCATCTAGGTCCATCTCAGCGGGAATGCGGAGTTCAAATGATACAACGAATGTATACATGGTGTGTTTTCGTGTCGAGCCTCGACACGACGAGAGGCACGCGAGGCGACGAGACGAGCGTGTACAGCCGGCATAAGACCTTAAAGTTGTGAAACGCCTTTGATGTCCGGCGATGCCGCCGCCCGCGTAGTTATTTACGCGGCAACGTGTATGCTAGGGGTTGTTGATATTATAATATTTCATTAACATTACATACTTATAAGTTAAAAACATTTATCGAACAAGAGCATTTTTTATTACTACAAAAAAAAAAACAACACATTTACAAGTGTTACCACTGCCAAATATTTACGTAACACTTTCTATTTATAGATGTTTTCAGTTTTCGATTGTTGAATTTAATGATGTACATAATGTTTTTGAATTCGGATAGACAATTTTATCACCAAAAAAAAAAAAGAGATAAATAAGCATGACCGTCATTTGTATTAAATTTTACTTAGTGACTCTATGTAACTACAACAGTAATTCACCATTTTACATATTATATTTTTCGAAAACGACACTTAATATTAGTTAAATAAGTACTATAAAACACGCTCGCGCCAACCGCATGTTTTGTCTATCAGACTCAGTAAAGTGCGAAAGCACAAGATCGGTCTGCCTTCTGCCCTGCAGATGCTGTCGTTGCTCTGCACAAGTACATTTGTATCCTAACTGTAAGGTCTTTTTAAACTGTGTCATATCAAGCTTTCTGTCACTAGGCTGGGTATTACAGACTTGCGTTTGATAATTTCTCCATGAATCAGATGTCACATGTGATTTTTCTTGCCCTTTGTGATTTCTTGATTGTCAAATCTTATGCGATCAAATGAAGTGATGAATTGTAATCTTTTATTGTCTAAAAGTATTGCAATAATATTTATACAAGTTTATTTAATTCTTGCATTTATACTATTATCATCAGACCTTAAATAATTTACTGTTTGCCAAGACACGTTTATACGTGGTAGAGCTATGCTGCAGTTATATTAGTAGTATAGTTGTAGCACGAATGGGTCGGCTCGACCGGGGAAGGACCACGCTCTCACAGAATAGAGAATACCAGCGTAAAATAGTAGCTTAATGCTGCTGTGTTTCGTATGGTGAGTGTAGATAATCGGAGACCTTTTTTACTGGAAATGAGGCATTTCATCTTAGTCCTCACCGGTGACAACGCATCTGCATTTTGATTCGTAATCGAGGATAGATCTAGAGATGTCTATGGGCCACAACAACCACTTACCATCAGGTGGACTGTGTGCTCGTTTGTCACCCTATCCTATAAAAAAAGACACATGGGAAAAGTGCCATTTGTTTAATTTCAGTCATATGTAAAGAGTGTAAATTTATTACACAAAGTAAATTCAAGAGCTTTGCTATTGTTACATAAACAACTGTATTTTATTTATTTACAGATGAAGATTACATACTCGAGTATTCACTTGAGTATGGATTTTTACGACTGTCACCAAGTGCTCGTTTACGCCTCAAGATTCCTGTTAAAATCGTAACTTTGGACCCTCAGAAGGATGAATGCTTTGGAGATACGTTTTCTCGTTTTGTTCTTGATGAATTTCTTGGCTACGACGATCTGCTTATGGCCTCTATAAAGACCTTGGCCGAGCAAGAGGATAATAAAGGTTATTTGAGGTGAGTGAATTAGAATCGCTATATATACATTTCTACTAATTTACTTAATTTATTAACGTAACATACTCTAAAACGTTAATTACTATTTATTGTTAATAAATAACGACATCAAGTCATCAAGGAGACAATAGTTATGTATTAGATATTTACCTATCAAATTGCCGTTAGACTGAAATTGTTATAATGATTTCTTAAATTTACGCGAACACTACACATTGAATAAAACTAAATTTACGGATTTTATCGCGTTTATTTCACTACTTTTACTTATTTTTAATTCCCGAAACGTCGGGAATTAAAAATAAGTAAAAGTAGTGAAATAAACGCGATAAAATCCGTAAATTTAGTTTTATTCAATCTGAAATTGTTACTTTGGATTGTTAGCCGGGTAGCTGTTTTTCGGCAAGCTCTGAGCTCCTGGGCTACATCTTAATCGGTACGCAATATTAAATGCGTATAGGAACCTAGTACTACTAATGAACGAAAGTATTACCAACTTTTTTTATAGGAGAGGGGGCAAACGAGCATATACGGCTGACCTGATGGTAAGTGATTACCGCCGCCCATGAACAAATGCAACGTCAGGGGAATTGCAGTTGTCTGTTTTCTTGAAGGTCCCTAAGTCGGTATCGGTCCGGAAAAATCTCTGGTGGTAGTCGATTCCACAAGGAAGTTGTGCGAGGAAGAAAACTTCTTTTAAATCGCACGGTGGTGGACTTCCAGTCATCCAGATGGTATAGATGGTATCGCGAGTTTTGTCAAGATGTGCGATGGTGAAATTGTGCAGCTGGAATTAGTCCGAACAATTCCTCAGAGCACTGCCCGTGGTAGATGCGATAAAATACGTAAAGAGATGCAACATCTCTTCCCGATGCCAGTGAGTCAAGCCGATCGGATAGAGCTCGGTTGCCGACGATTCGATCTGCTCTGAAGAAGCTGGCACTGGGGAGTCCCCGCCCAGAGATTGGAATAGTATTCCGTGTGAAACGAGTTTCTCGTGTTTGTAAAAGTATAATATTTGAAATTCAAACTCAAAAAACAAATGCATGGCCAAGAGCTCAGAAAGTCCAGTGTGCCCAATGTAATGACGAATTGAAGGCGATGGTGGGTCCGGATCCGTGTCAAACTACGGCTGAGGTAGTCACGTTATTAGATCATAATACTATATCGTACGGAAAATCGGTAAATTATTTTTTATTTTACCTACTGCTTGACAAACTGATACCCTCTTACTGAGGAACGCACGGTAAGAGACCGCGTCTAAGCCTGCGTTATATTGCTGAATCTGCATAAATAGGGGGGAATTTTGAGTTGAATTTTTATCGGCGATGAAATGTGGATCATATACGGCAATCGCAAGCGTTTATCGCTATGGTTTGATCCAGGTGCCCAAGCCAAATAGTTCTGTAACGAAAGAATAATCAGAAAGAGCTTAAAACGAAAGTTTGGTGGTCTACTGTTGGTATTGTAGCGGCGCTGTCGTCCCGCCACAAGCGAAATACACCGAAGCTTAAATGACGCTATCAACATTCCGAATCATAAATAGTATATATAGAACATCTCCGAACTATCACACGGAGTGTTGGCCGCTCCCCGGGTAGAACACCTTGCCCAGCGGGAGATCTCCCCTTTTCCCTTCCACGGCCACAGTGGTGACCCCGACGTGATCTGAACACGCAACCAAACAACCTTCGGAAACTTCAAGCTTCATTATCGTCATACCCCTCCTATTCGCTCCCGAGCAGATATCGTCTGCAGTCTTCATATCCTGCAAGCCATCTAGCTTCACAAGGTTCATCGCAGCACTGGAATAATAATGCTTCCTGTTCCTTCAAGCTACTCTCTGCGCTATACAGTGTTCGGCACGGCTCTGAGTCTTACTGCTCGCCTCTGCTTCACGGCACTCTCGCAGATTACTTGCCTTCTTCTCGACTCACTGCAGACTACAAGGCAATCTCCTGGCACTTGCACATTCGTCGGCAACGAGACTGCACTATCGACCTCCGGTCTGAGCAGTCCGGTGATGTAGCGGCGCTGTCGTCGCGCCACAAGCGAAATACACCGAAGCTTAAATGACGCTATCAACATTCCGAATCATAAACAGTATATATAGAACATCTCCGAACTCACACGGAGTGTTGGCCGCTCCCCGGGCAGAACACCTTGCCCGGCGGGAGATCTCCCCTTTTCCTTCCACGGCCACAGTATTATTCACTACAGCTTCTTGCCTTCTGGTACTACAGTTACTGCTGACCGTTATTGATTTGTCATGCAATCAACCCAGATTGTTGAATTGCTTTTCACCATTGAACCAACTTCCTCTTTTTCGAAGTTTAGACAGTTTTATGATGGGCAACAATTTCAAATCCGAAGAAGCAATAAAGAACGTTTTTAAAGTGTTTATCGATTTTCGTACAGCAGACTTCTGAAATAAGGCCATGAATAAACTGCCCATAAAAAAGAAAGACTGTTAATGTTGTTAAATAGTTAAGGCAGATTTTTTTTCATACAACACGGCAATAACCCAGGTAAAGATCTGATATTTACGTGATTTTTTTTTATAATTAAAATACCGGAATAGATGATTTGTCAAATTTGCGTAACCAGGCTTGCTTTATTAAGATGTGTTTTGTGTACTTTTCAGGAATATATTAAGCTTGCGAGGTAAGCTAATTAATGATAGTCGAAACCGAACTTGACCTATTATTATTTAAATTTAAACCATCATACATGTACAGCCTGCAAGCAATTTAATATACAAAGAATTTTTTTATGGTTATGTACATTTTTGATAAAATAGCTTCATACACGCGGTTTCGCTTGCGTGGAATTTAATTTTGTTTTGTTTTAAATTATTGTTTGTTTATTATCATTACCATTTTTATAGGATAGAGGGCAAATGAGCATGCGGCTCACCTGATTTTAAGTGACTGCCGCCGCCCATGAACAACTGCAACACCAGGGGAATTGCAGGTGCGTTGCCTGCCACGGAAGCTCGGAAGCTCTTTTCTCCGAAGGTTTCTAAATCGTATCGGTCCGGAAAAATCGCCGGAGGTAAACTATTCCACAGAGAGGTCGTACGTGGAAGAAAACTTCTAGTGAAACGTACAGTGGTGGACCGCCAATCATGGTGTGGATGGTATCGGGAGTTTCGCCGCGATGTGCGCTCATGAAATTTGGCTGCTGGGATTAATCCGAACAATTTCTCAGAGCACTCCCCGTGATAAATGCGACAGAAAATGCAAAGGGATGCAACATCTCTTCGTATTGAATCTAGCCGGTCGGAAAGCACTTGGTCGTCGACGATCCGGGCTTCTGCGCTGGATGCGGTCAAGTGGAAGGACCTGGCACTTGGGAGCCACAGCCCAGAGATGGGAACAGTATTCCATGTGAGGTCGAACCTGCGCCTTGTAGAGTTGCGCGGTGCGCCGACATGAAGTAGCTGAGCACGCCAAGCTTTTTAGAGACCAATTTGGCTTTCTCTTCCAAGTCACCACGAAACTGCACGCCACACTATAATGTCGACACTGAGGATTCCGATACTGGCTGAGGCAACAATGAGAGTACCTTGAAGTTGAGGAGATACGACAAAGGAGTTCTTTTTAGCGGTAAACGCGCAAAGTTGTGTCTTCTGAGGGTTAATGTTTACTAGCCCCCAATCTTTGTTTTTCAGTAAAGACTTGACTTCAGACACAAGTTTGTCCCAGTACTCGGCAACGTTTTCCCGAGAAATATTGGCACGGTCGGTGTATAGAGTGCTGTCATTTGCATAGCAATGAATGTTACCGGCTTGCAACATATCATTGATATGCAGAAGAAACAGCGTCGGTGATAGCACGCAGCCTTGTGGAACGTCAACATTAGTAGGCTTGTCGTAAATCGAAGCATGAACCGTCTACAACTGCCATAATGCTCCGATCTGCAAGAAAGCTGGTGATACAATTGCACCATTTCTCGGAAAGCCCATAGGAAGAGACATTCGAAAGAATCGCTTTGTGTCAAACCCGATTTAAGGCCTTCGTAATGTCCAAACTTACGACCAATGCCTCCTCGTTGCACTCTACTGCCTCCGTCCATTTATCAGTCAGGTAGACCACAAGGTCATTAGCTGATCTATCCCGACGAAAACCGTATTGGCGGTCACTAATCAGCTGGTGATCCTCAAGGTACCGCATGATCTGGCAGTTAATAATGGATTCCATTATTTTGGAGAACAAGGAGGTGATGGCGATAGGCCTGTAGATAGACGGGTCTGAGCGGTCGCCCTTTTTAGGGATCGGTTGGACGAAAGCCGTCTTCCATGATTTCGGGACTATGCCCATGGAGTGAGCTTTGCGAACCGAGTGCTGTTTGAACTGCACATCCGGCGTGGAGCACTCACACTGCGTGATGGTCTGCGGTGTGCTCCCCCCCGTCATCGAGAGTCGAGTTGGACGCAAAGAAAGAGCCTAGCCGATCTGGCTTTCTCTTTTGCTGCATGGGCCAGTGAGTCGTCCTCCCTGTGCAGAGATGGAAGAGATGGCTGACAGAAATTCCCCTGGACAGCCTTGGCGAGAGACCAGAATGCACGGGTTCCAGAACAGGCGAACTAGTTTAACCGTTACACCCCATCAACGTCCCTACCTCATAGGAGGTTTATTTGCTCGTAAAGTCGCCACGCTTGGCATGCGCGTTGACAACCATTATTTTGTTTATTGACCAGAGGTAAAGCTATACTGATAATGATAAAAAAGGCAAAGACGTTCTTTAGAAGCTTATTACAGAAGTTAGTAAAAAATATACAATATGGCCAAAACAATTAGAGTAATGACAGGAATGCGGTTTCGGCGCCCGCGCCCTGCCATTATCCCCGCGCTTCCCCTAGTGACCAATTACCGTTTCGGTGTTCCCTCCCTAGTTCTAATGACGTCTTAGATGTCATGCGCCTAATTGTTTTGGTTACGTAGTACTGCTTTTTGACTAGGAGCAAAGACTGTGGGCGATTTATTGACGTTTAGGGCGTGTTTTTTTTCATGCAACGATGCTACTTTCCCTCGAATGTAAAAGAGCAATTTTTTATTTATGTACCTTTATCTTGAATCTTAAATATTATTCATATTAAAACAAGGTAATATGAATTTATTAAATAGATAATTTTTTGCAAAAAATAATCTATTTAAACGTGCGTGTAAATCTTATAATAACAACTTCTCACATGTTGATGTATTTTCTCTGTCATATGGACAGTTTAAAAAGGAAATTAAAACTGTAATGGGTAATAGTTAAAATTAATATTTCACTTTACACTTTACTTTGACTTAACTTTAGTTCTATACATTTAGTAAAGTATGTTTATGATGTTCGCTGGTTTTTGATGAGTTGCTTAACTGTAAAAACTTTATTGTTAAATGTAAGATAAATATGTGTTATGTATAAGAAAATTATGTATGTTTCCTTTGAAAATGAAAAAAATTCAAGTAATCAATCATTTTTTCTCTTATAAGTTTTTTAGCTGTAATTTTTTTCTCTTTTTTATTTAATTTACTTTTTTCTCCTACCGATTGTAGTATATCGGGCAAAAATTATAAGCCCCTATCATTACATAGTAAATATAATAATAATAATAATATATTTAGTAGTACATGAAAGTACCTTTTTCCTCATAATAATGTTATTAAGTAGGCTGAATGAAGTGAGGCCGACACCCAATAATTTTAAAAATCAAACTAACTGGACAAGTAATGTTTAGTTGTCAAATGTTAACATCTCGGTAAAATACTGCTATATCTTTGCTTGAATGAAAATATTGTTTCACAATAACACTCTTTTTTATTTTATTTATTTTAAAACAACTAAAACACATATTATACAAAGTTCACAAGTACAGTGCAACATAAACCTATATAAGATTTTTCTTCACATTGCAGTTCGCCGTCTTTCGAGCGCAAACATTTTAATATTATTTAGAGTGAGAAGGTAGTTCGCTTGTTTCTATAAAAATAACATGAGGATGAGTTGTAATGAATGTTTAATTAGAGTAGTATACATTTTTCGTGTTATTAAGAAGTCGCTGCTGCTCATCTAGTATGTTTCCACTGTCTCATCTCTTACGATACCCTCGAGATGATATGTTAATATAGTATAAAGAAATCTGTAGCTGTGTGATGTTTTTTTCTTTTTTTGAAAATCGATTTGGTTCTGTCATTTCATAATAAAATCAAGTTTTATTCTTTTTCGCTCATGTACCAGTAAAATATAGGTCTATCGGTTATAGCGAATGTACTTTATATTTTTATATACAAAACTAAAGTGCGATCTTACAGTATACTTGATGGTTATTGGTTACTGCAGTTCATGGACATCTGCAGCCAACTCCAAACAAAGCTGGCTACAGATGCGTTGTCACCTCTGAGGACTAAGAAGGCATGCAGTTATACTGTCTTTCTATGCGCTTCAAACTGAAACAGAGCGGTTAAAGCACTTCTTTTTGTTAGAAGAATTAGAAAAGAAGGTCGTGCCTACCTAGACTGGCACTAAATAGACCGAAAGGAAGTCCTACCTGTTAATAGAACTTAACTTTAGAAAATAGTACGGACAATGGGTATGTTCCGAAATACACCGTCCTGGTGTGTCATTTTTGCATTTGCGTCGGATATGGTCATTTTTATTGGGTGTTAGGGCAAGCGCTTATAAGCAAATGGCTCAAATGTATAGCTATTTTGGGATGTTAGTTTTAAGGAACCTAACCTAATTTAAATATATGTTTGTAAAGTTCTATTAAAAACTTACATCATGAATTTTTAATAACATGTATATGTTTATTCACGTTATTATATTACTTAACTAATATTGCACAAAACAACTTATAAACTCTATTTCAAAACAAACAAATTAAATAAGCAAAATGGCGGATTGTGTCAGCGCTACTGAAGTAGTAATCGTGTCCGGCCGAAAACTATTTCAGCGTTGTAACCGGTTGCATAGCGCTTTTTTCCAAACGCCCATTGTGTGTGCGCTGAATGAAGCATACCAGAATTTATTTTTATTTATTCAAATACAAAAAATTATAAAATATATGCTGGTATCTCCATTAGGAAGATATAATGATTTTTAGAGAACAAAATGACAAAATAATCGCCAACGCCAACACTTTTCCAATATGGCGTAAATGTATGACGTCATAATATACTGTCCTATGTTTTGGAACGAATCACCAGTATAGCGTCGATTCATGACGTCATTTTGCAAAATAGAACCCATTTCTATTTTATTTCTATTTTGGAACATACCAAATCTCTGTGCAGCGTTTAGCAATTTTTTTTAAATGCAATTATTATTCATTTTTTCCATCTTTCATAAGAAATGTAATGTTTACACATTTTTGATGATAATTAAACGTGTAGTGGCGGCATCAGTAATGTTAACGACAACTGCCATCAGAAATGGGTATATATTTCTAAAAATAAAGTAACACGGGGCTAACAGTCTATCTAGTGCTAAGTACCACTACAGCCTACGGATCCAGATCCGGATGACATAGAGGATATTTGCCACACTTGGCAAGTAATTTTTAGTTGTTATTAGGAAGACATTGCTGCCTATCTCCTGGTTTGTTTCTCTAAAAAACTGTCATTAGAAAGTAATTAAACTTTTTTTAATTATTTATGTTTTTGAGAAGAGCTAGAAGTTTTGAAGTTCCATAACCTTATAAACTTATTTTTTTTTTATAGAATAAGGGTAGCATACAAACACATACCACCTAATAAGTGGATCCTGGGACCATAGACATCTATATTCTATATCTATCCTCGGTTGAGAATCAATATACAGATGCTTTGTCCCAGCTGAGGACTATGCTGCAATGCTTTATTTTCAGTAAAAAGTGTCTTCGGTTCTCTAAATTCACCATACGAAGCATATGAGCAGAAGCTGTTATTTTACGCTGGTATTCTGTGAGATCGTGGTCCTTCCCCAGTCGAGCCGACTCATTCGTGCTACAACCATAATATAGCTACATCACTGCTCTACAACATACAAAAATATTGCAACATCAGTTGAACAAAGTCATCTGAATATTTTGCATCAATTCACTCTATTAATAAGTACTATTTTTTATTTAAATTGCTACATTTTTCGCCAAAATATTAGTCTAAATATAAAAGTATATAAAAGTCTAGGGCGAAAAAAGAATATTTTTGATTTGTTGAGTATTGATGAAGAATGTTTTAAAATTATTATTTTTGAGCCCCTTGTTACATTTAAAACCAAACTTAGCCACTTAGCTATTTAAGCTAACCTCTCCGCTTCTGCATTTCCACTAATTACTCGCATTTAAATATATGTTTAGTAAATAACGCTTATGTAGTAATATGATGTCACATAGCTAGGTTACTTCGCGTTAGTAGCCGGTGATCGGCAAGGTGCACTTTTTCATTGTTGAAATTCATCTAACCGTGTGTATGCGACTCCGCGAGCATATCGTCTGGTCTGAGCTGATGTATGTGATGTATGATGCGTAAATGTTGAAAATATTAAAATAAAGAAAACGAAATAGCTTTAAATACTTTATTGTTACAGGAACGTAATCACTGGTGAGCATTACCGTTTTGTCTCCATGTTAACGGCGCGCAGTTCTTACATAGCGGCGTTCTTCATAATGCTCGTTTTTGTAAGTATTGCCATTTAAGTAATTGCTATTAATTTACGTATCTGTTATTTTATTCTGGGGACTCACGTCTTTTACTCCATGGTTCTGTAATTTTATTGACTAACAGTGAATTTTGTCTGTAAATTGTTGTCGCTCATAATGAATTTAAGCATTTATTACTGTTACGCGCCACAGTTAATTCCTGGTACATGGCGACACTAGTTACCACTCACGCCTTCTAGTATCGAGTAGCAGAACTAGGAGAGTTTAGATCCTTCTAGAAATTTCCATGTTAGAACTTTCTATACATATGAATACCTAGCCAGTCGGGACCAGTATATACTCGAACATTCTAGATGTTTCTACAATAGAAGGTTCTGGAACTATCAGGCCCTATATAAGGCCGGTATAGACCGCAACGCGAGTCAGTGTTGAATTGATTCAAACGAATACTTCGAGCGATACAACTGCGAATTATAGTGATCAATTAGTGATTTACTATAGTAGTACAATTGGGGTTTGTTATTAGTGTGGTTTTAGGGTTGTAATTAAAGTATAAGTTTTGGTAATTCGCTCGGCAGTTTATAATTGTATCGAACCCCAAGCTCGTAACAATACCTTGTGTTAATTGAGGTCGCTGTGTTATTATAATTATGTGTGTCTTTAATAATATAATATATTGTAATTTAAGATTTATTTAGAACAGTGGTTTCTAATTAATTGTTACTGCGTTACTTCTGGAAAGAGTTTAGTTCGCGTGTCAGTTTTAGCTAAGACTGGTGACCCGCCCCGGCTTTGCACGGGTGATTTCTGGATCTTGACAACAGCGCCACCTACCGAGTTTAATTGAGTTTTTAAACCATCATAAAAACTAGTATTATTTCAATGTGTAGTGTTCGCGTAAATATAAGAAATCGTTATATAAAAAATGGCTTTGCATGTTACCCCTGCTTGGTTTAAATTAAAACTGGGTTTCTGGAAATAATGTCTCCGATACAGAAGATAAATCGGGTAAGTAGAGTTCTGTCCTATATATTCCCCAGTACAAATAGTAGTGATATGCCGCGATAGGAGTTTCAGTCGGAACGATATTCCTTGCTTTTGGAGTCTTCATGTGAGACACATTGAAGTAGGTGGCGGCTCTTCGCGTTCCTTTCTGTCGCACGGGCTTCTCTTACAATTCTTTCACTTCAAATGCAGTAAGACTCTGGAACATGTTACCCAGAAATATAAAAAAAGCAAAAACTAAACCTATCTTTAAACGTTTACTCTGGGAATATTACTTAACGAAGCAGTAGTAGTTTCGGATTATAATAAAAAATTTAAAAAACTTCGGAAACTGTTATATTCTCAAGTATGTATAATATAAAAATATCATATTTATTTATTGTGTATGTATTTATTGTGGGTATTTGTGTATAATATATAAAATAATATTGTATACATGTAAGTAGTAATGTAAATGTATATGTATGTGTATTGTTTATTATCATTATATTATAATTTTGTATTTTTTCCTTAAACCTTTAATTTTTTTTAATTATGAGTTTTGCACCCATCACTAGATTCTCTGCACAAACCAAAGGTAGACTGGTAGAGAATGCCTTTAGGCATTAAGTCCGCCGTTTTGTACATTTCTTTTATGTGTGCAAATAAAGCTTAAATAAATAAATAGACCTAATATGCTCAAGATCTTACGGTCGATCACTGTTGAGTAGATGTTCGCATCGTTCCGCTGTACGGCTTAGTACATTTGATTTTGCAATGAGTTTTTTGGTGCCTTCAAATGATTTTTATTTATTCATTCATTATCGCCCATAACAGTCCACTGCTAAACACAGACATTCCCCAAAAAATGCAATAAAGCACGGTCGTGAGCCACCTGCATCCGTCGATTTCCTGCATGTCATACTAGGTCGTCACTACATCTAGTGGGGAGTCGCTCTAAACTTCGCCTACCGGTACGAGGCTGCCACTCGTGAACCTTTCGTCGCCATCAGATGTCGGTTCTTCGAGCTATATGGCCGGCCCGCTTCAGCTTACTTATCCGTTGAGCTCTGTCGATTACACGCAGAAGTTGCACAATCTTGTTTTTAAGTTTTGTGGTATATCTGACGAGAAGATGTGTGATAATCTCCCGAAAGCTACCCAGCCGAGTTGAATCGACGGATTCAAACGGATTCAACTCGGGTAGGTTTAGTAAGTTCAAGTGTAGTTAGTTAGGTAATGGTCAACTCGTACTGTGCACATAGAGCTAACAACATTTTTGTCTATTTGCTTAGACATTGGCTCAGCTCGTTAAAGTGACCCCATCATCAAGGTTAAGACGCATTGTATTAATGTTTACCGAGATGGAAACAAGATATACTGTTTATTTGTTGGCTATTCAAACATCACAGCAGATCACCCAGGATTCTTTTTACTTATTATAAACCAGTGTTTGACCACAAGACAAAGCACCAGGTGGTGGTCAGTGGTAATGAAACCTTAGATGGTAAATCGCACCGTCTTAGAGTAACAAAAGCCTTAACATCCTTGATTTGAAGACAATAATATTGTTATTTAACGGAAAGAAAGATGCTGGCGGATTACATTACTGTACTCGAAGTCGAAGCAAACTGTTTGGATCGAATGCGTGTAATATCGACAACAAAAGGGTAAAGAAGCGCCGACTGCCTGGTTGGTCGGATGATGGAAAGGGGGGGATAAATCTAGACATATAGTTCCTGTGCTCGCTCTACGGAATGCATCCTACATATACATGCATTTCAGATTCAGAATTTGAGTTCCTTAGTTCGGATGGAGAACTTCCATCCCAAAAAAAAAAAAAATATTTAACATTCACAACCACTCCTTTGAGTCACGACAGCAGTTATTCTTTCAGTTCATAAATTGCCTTGAATATTGCACGATAGCTATGATACGGATTTTATCACGTTTAATTGACTTATTATTATTTCCCAACATTTAGTAGGGTGCTTAACAGCACCCATGGTCACTCACTATATGTTCTTTCACGCGGGTTATTATATATCTTTTTGTTTGTCCTATGTAAGAGAGACCACATTGACAATCTAGCTCGTACACTCCTGCATCTTGTAGAGGGACATTACACTTGATGGATGGTAACAATTGACTAATCTTTACCATCCATCTCAGTCCCCCCTGTGACCATGGGTACTGTAAAGTGCTCGAAACGTCGGGTATTTAAAAAGTGAAATATACGCGATAAAATCCGTAAAAATTAGAATTATTTAAATGTGTAGTGTTCGCGTAAATATAAGAAATCATTATTGACAAAATTCTTTGGCGGCTTGTAGCATGTTTTAATGAAAGCTCGCTTCAAGATGTAGCCAACCTTATTTGTGACTCCTTTTACATATGGTAGTACAGCAGGCACACGTTTGACTGTGACCGGCTTAACTCGGTCACTGTGACATAAGCGCGGGAACCAAAGCTTGTTGTTTTGCAATACTTGATTGATATGCTGGAGCTCGGCGGCAATATATTTTCTGTCACAGATCCCTTGTGCTCTCTGAAACAAAGATTTTTCCACAATGGCTAACTGTGATAGATGATAGCGAGATTCACCATTTAAATATCGGTTGGTAAATGTTTTTTCCTATACAGAGTCTGACCAATATCGTTATCAGGATTTCGGACTCTAGCTTTTCTAGATGTGACTGAAACATCTAGAAAAGCTAAAGAAGTATTTGCCTCTAACTCCATTGTGAATTGTATTTTAGAGTTTATGGAGTGGTCTAAAAATGCGGCTACTTTGTCAGATGGTAAAACTGTGAAAGTGTCGTATACGTGCCGTAGAATCTTGGATTTACAAGAGCAGTAAGAAGAGCTTTCTCCTCAAAGTCCTTCATGAATATGTTGGCGACTATGGGAAATACAGGTGGGTCCATCGCCACACCATCTACTTGCTCTTAGAACTCCTTCTTCCACACAAGATAGCCAGATATGAGGCAGTGTTCGAGTAATATTGCATATTCTTCAATATTGTAAGTAAAATGGATGTTTTTATTGTTTTTTGACTTTGTTGTATCGACCGTGTGAATTTGGGTGCGCAGACAATGGCGGTTGTTACCCTGCAATAGGACGATCAATTTTTGGACACTTTCTAGCCGACTCCTCATCTGTGTCATCTAAGTACGACGCTTCTTCGTCCAAAGTGCTGCCCATTCTACGCCGTTGTGTCAATTGGAGTCCAGTAAGACCACTCTCTTTGTGCCGCCTACGAACAGATGTTGGACAACATCAGGTTTGCACCGTCACCCGACTTCTTTACCGCCACCAATCAAAACGCAGTCAATTGTATGAGACATAGTTTAGTGCCGAATTGTTTGCCCATATACAGGATTCACGCCATCGTCCCCACCTTTCCTTTTGTACGTGGGGAAATTGTCATAAATACCTGTTTATCGTCCCACGATTTTGATAGGATCGGGAATCTAGGTAGGACTCATATCCGCTAAAACCCAACAGACTTCTGCACGATGAAGGAGTCTACCTGAAGTTCTTCACCCCTGCCTCATAAGGGAGCGGACGGAAAACACGCTGTTCACACCACCTCAAGGCCTTACGTTTTCGTCGCCACTTGGTACGTTTGTTCTTGGTTGCTTGGGCCGGGTTCGAGTTTGTATACAAATAAGCGCAGGAGCTGTCTCCGGATAGACCCACGTGCAGGTCTTCCCTCAACCAGGGTTAGCCCACGAGCTGAAGGTAGTAACTAGTAAGAGATATGTAGACCGCCTGCAGTGGCGAATCTAGGGCTCCAAACTAGGGCAAGTCCAAGATATAAATTGTTAAAAATATAGATTGTTGTTTTTAGCAGTTTTATAAAAATACACCAATCTTGATCTGTCTCCACTCTTCAGTTTCATATTCAGTGCTGTCGATGACGTGTTTAACAAAGAACACGGATGGCATACTACTGCTAGATAGATTGTATGATATATCAGCAATTGCATGGCTTTCGTAGCTTTGAAAAAAAAAACCGTTTGGGTATTTTT